CAAGCAATATGCAACTCACCAATTTCTAAGCATCAACCCAGGATTCAAACCTTAAAAACAAAAAATAGAAAATGAGATGACACAACAAGATGCAGACTTTCAGCTCACCAGAGGCAAATCCTGGGGGAAATGAGGTAGAATAGTTCAAAAGCCATCCACCTGGACTCTTGGAAGTTGTAATAGCAGAATTAAAAAAGGAGATGAATAAGGCTCTAGGAAAAAATCAAAGCAGAAATAATTTCCAAGATAACTACAGAGATGGTGGCCATAATGAAAGGCATGCTTAGTAACTCAAGAGCAGATACAAATAAAAAAATAGAGGAACTCAGGAACATGGTGGAAACCATGAACATCCAGCATAGGAAAGAAATGGAATCCATGAAATGGATTCAAACAGATATCCAGGAAATTAAAAATTCCATTGGAAGTATACATAGCAGAATGAGCCAATGTGAGGACAGAATATCAGATACAGAAGACAAGGTTTTGGTTAGCAATCATGAAAAGAGAAATTTCTGAAAAACACCAAGGGACCATAAGAAATCAATCCAGCAGCTGCTAGATGATGCAAAGAAGAATAACATAAGCTTGATTGGAGTCAATGAAAAAGCAGGAGATAGCACAAATAACATTAAAAAATCTCTTCACAGAAGTAATGGCAGAAAATCTCCCAAACAGGGAAAAAGAATTTGTTATACAGATAAGTGAAGCATATAAGTGAGGCATATAGGACTCCAATTAGCCATGGTCAAAAAAAAAAAAGTCTTCCCCGAGGCATAGAAGAGTCAAGATTCTAGAAATTCAACACAAGGACAGAATATTAAAAGCTGTTAGAGAAAAGAAACTATCTTTCAAAACTGAGGAAGAAATTTGATACATCCATGACAAGAAACACCTGAAGAAAATTCATGACCACCAAACCAGCACTCCAAAGTGTTCTGAAGGATATTCTAGAAAGAGACAGTAAAGATTACAACTCTCATGAACCCCAACAGAATGAATCTCCCAGGCAAGGCAAGAAATTAAACGGAAGAGGATCTACCCCAAGAAGACCCAAAGGCCAGCAATGGCAGCTAGAAAGCCTGTGATGGTGGGGTGAAGGATTTGTGCCACCAGGTGGAGGGACCTAGACTGGAGCCAGAAAGCAATGTTCAAGGCAAACATCAGGACCCTGAATGAGAACAGCCATCCCAGTGACAGTGAGGACTTGAGCTCCCCTGGTAATAAGAACAGCCTAGTTTGCATGGACAGCCAGTTGCAGCAATCTTCTCCAAGAAAATCAACAGAAATCAATCTTCCCCTCCAGGTCTCTTTTTATGCCTTCAGCAACAGTCCTCAGGTGGATCTTCCATGCCCAGAACCACACCAATTCGGTTCACCTGGGCCTTACAAGTTGCCTATTAGTTAAGCCACCACACTACATTACTTAGAAATAAGAAGGAAAATACTAAGAGAATCAACTAAAAGAGGTAAAAGCAATCATCTCCGAAAAAAAGGAAGGGACAAAATAATGTTACTTTTATTAAAAATTATAAATAATTATAAATATTATAATGTAAATAATTATATTAAACATTAAGAATTATGGCAAAATGATTAGAGTTCTTGTAAAAACAAATAAAAACTTAATCCACAAAAGACAGTTCTGGAACCAGACTGCCTGTATCCAAGTCTCACTCTTAGTATGTGACGGCATGTGGCCATGGACAAGTTCAAGGCATTTGGTCTCTCTGAGCTTCAGTTTTCTCTTCTGTGACATGAGAGCGACATGAGGAATAGCTATCTCTGAAAATACAGGAATACACAAACTCAGTTTCTCCTGTACTCCACACAATCAACACGGAAGGCATCTGTGACCGAATGTGTGGTGTGGGGAGAAAACAGTCAACTCTGCAGCAGAGCATCTTCTAATTCTCTACCTGGTGACAACTCAGATCCAGGAGTCCCCCGGGTACCCTCCTCCTTCAGATACCAAGCACAGGCCAAAAGAATTTACTTGTACTTCCTCTTTATTTACTGGCTATAAATTAAGATTCCCACAACCCAACCCTCCTCTTGGATTTGATTAATTTGCGAGAACAGCTCACAGGAACAGCTGACTAGTTTGCTATAAAGTATATGACAGAGTGCACCAGTGACCACCAGCTGGGTAGGGAAAAGTATGGGGGAAGGAGCCATGCTACCCTCAAGGAGTGTCTACCTGTTTTGGTAGGGTTGAGAGTCCTAAGCTCTGATCCTGCCATGGTCTTTCTGGTGATCGGTGCCCACCTTGAAGCTTCCTAGGGGTGCCAGCCACCAGTCAATTAATCTGCTGATGAAAGAACATTTATCACTTTTATGATTCTGAGGATTTACAAGTTGAATGCCAGAGAACAGGAGTGAAGACAAATGGTATTTCACAGTGTCATAGTACCACACAAAGCTTGGTGGAAACCAAAGGAAATGGTGCATGCGAAGGAATTTGCTGGTTAATGTCTTACAAATGGAAGCTTCTTGCCGTTATTAACCAAACACACAGACCAACCCAACTCTGTAACTGGGGCTTTGAGGCTACTTTTGAAAACAAAAGCAAAAACAAAACAAAAAACCCACTGACTCTTAACTTGGGCATGCAGAAGGCCAATGGGTAACTAAAAACAAGTTATATAAAGCATCTCTGCCTTCATTTTGTGTCTACCTTCTTTATTACCTTAAAATATGAATCAGATTCCTGCTCATCACTGCACAGAGGCATATTAATCACTTAAGACATGTCTATCTAAAAACTGGTAACAAGGGTTATTCTCCCTAAATTTACCTAACCTACCTCCTCATTCTTTAAGACTGAGGAAATCAAGATAAAAGTAACGAAGGTATTTTCAAAATGTGCAGAGATTCGTCTGTCAGTTTATACACTATCCTTTCCCAAACTCCCTGGGGTGGCACCTAGAAGGCTCCAGGCATGGTCTCAAACCTGCAATCACCTTAACTCCAGAAGCAGCAGAGCCTCACAGACAGATCTCTCCATGATGAGATCAGCTCCTAAGTGGGAGCAATGACCTCACGACAAACTGATGCTGGCTCTCTAAAAAGGAGCAGTCACCCCATGGGAACCTGGTCGACCCTCCTGAGTAATAAGAACTTCTTCCAAGACACCTAGAAGAACCAGAGCTGAGATAACCAACCAGACCAGTTTGACTAAGACTTTTAATTACACATTCCTCTCACATTCAGCCCCAGTGCTTTCTCTATTTGACCCTAAATTATCTTAAGTATAAGGATGCCTGTTTTCTCTTATCCTCCCAATGTAGCTATATTGATTAAATTCCTTTTCTGTTTTACTGTGACTTTTTCATTGCTTTTTATTTAAATGTAACGAGTACTTATTAATAAAGAAAATAGAAAAAACACTGTTCTTACTTCTATGAAATATAAACAACATTTCATAACAAAACAATTAGAGGATAACAACAGTTAATATACAGTGTATCATGATCTTAAAAGAATGGCCAAAAGGTTTTTCAGAGTACAAGTCATAGACAAAAAACCCTCTCTCTTATGAAGAAGAAATAAAGGGACAAAACTTTCTTTTCAATAATAAAAAGAAACTAATAGTGTAAATGAAACAAATTAGCATGTAACTTAAAATATTTTTGAAACACAAATAATTTGAGGAATTACTTGAACTTCTTCCTACTTCCTATGTTCTATTTTGCCATATATATAATTTCTTTTTTTTTCAGTACCAGGGATTGAACCTGGGTCCTTGTGCTTGTGAAGCAGGAAGCAGAACCACTGAGCTAAATCCCCAGCCCTTATAATTTCTCATATCAGAGAAATCGTGTGATTAAGTTTGTGTGTCTGATTTATTTCACTTAACATTTATGGTTTCAAATTGCACCATTTGCCTATGAATGCCTCAAGTTTATCTTTTTGTCAACAGAGTAGTATTCCATTATGTATAAATAACACTTATTTTAAGCCATCCATCTGTTGATGGGCATATATGTGTTGTTTCCATGATCTAGCTATTATAAATTGTGCTCCTATAAACATGGGTATGTGTGTATCCCTGTAATATGACGACTTCAACACCTTTGGGAAGATACCTAGAAGGGGAATAGTTGGGTCAAATGGAATTTCCATTTACAATTTTTGAGGAATCTACACACTGATTTCCATAGTGGTAGTACACCCTGAGCAGCATTTATTGTTTGATTTTTTTTTTTGATGATGGCCATTCTTTTTGGGGTAAGATGACATCTCAGTGTAGTTTTTTTTGTTTGTTTTTTGTTTTTTTTTTTAGACAGGATCTCACTATGTAGTTGAGACTGAACTGGAACTCACTATGTAGCCCAGGTTGGTCTCAAACTCACAACAATCCTCCTGCCTCAGCCTCCCAAGTGCTGGAATTACAGGCATGCACCACCACACCTGGCTCAGTGCAGTTTTAATTCACATTTCTCTAATGGCCAGCAATGTTGAACATTTTTTCATGTGTTTATAGGCCATTTGTATGTCTTCTGAGAAGTGTCTATTTCAATTGCCCATTTTTTAAATTGGGTCTTTTATTTTGGGGGTGTAATTTTTAAAATTCTTGTTATATTCTAGACATCCTCTGTCTGAGGAATTCCACTTGTTTGGGGTCGGGGGAGTGGCTGGACCTGATTTGTCGAGAACCCCAAAGTCAGGCCTATGGCCTGGGACTCTGGTAACAACCTCTCTTTGGCTCGTCTGGAGTCCCCTGGTCCTTTGGGAAACCCCATTTGTGTTACTGACTGACTCGTTACCTGCTCATGCTCAGGGACCCTTGGACATGGTTCCAAGAAGGTGCCCCAACAGCCAGCTCTCTCCAGAATCAGTCTGGCCTTACCCCAGACTCCACCCCTTCCCTTGGGGGTCATGGTTTTGTTTTCTTCTAGACACCCAAGATTTCCAAACTCTGTGGTTGCCTTGCTTAGCTAAAAGGGGAAGAAGAGGATCAGCCCCAAGGAGGAGGAGGAGGAGGAGGAGGAAGAGGAAAACAAGACAAACAGCCAGTGCAGTGGTGAGGAGTGTGTGTCCGTGGTCCCCATCCCTGCGGAGCTCATAGCTGGGACCTGGGTCCCTGCCCACCTTGCAGCCCTGCATCAGCCTGTTGCTTCCCACGGAGGCCATGGGCCCAGAGGCTCTGCTGATCCTGCTGGCGGCCACAGTTTGGCATGGTAAGAGCAGAACAAGGGGCTTTGGTGGGGTGTGACAGAGAGGGCCCGTGAGAAGATCCCGACAGTCACTGCCCCTCTGGGTGACCCCACTCTGTGCTCCCATCTCCCTGGCACTGGACTTGGGTCTGAGGCTATCTGCTCTGGGGAAGCAGTGGAGGGAAAGGAAGGTGTGGGTGGGGTGGAGCCAGGCCAGCCATGGCTGTGGATCTGTCTCAGCTTAGCCATGGACTCACAGAGTGTCCTGAGCAAGTCCCTGATACTCTCAGGTCTGCGATGGTGGTGGTGACAGTGGTGGACTAGACTAGAGCAATGCTTCTGGAACTTTTCTGTGCCTGGCAGAAATTACCTGGGGATCTTATTACAAAGTGGATTGTGATGCAGAAGGTCTCCGGAGTGACTTAGATTCTTTGTTTCTGACAAGCCCTTGGGAGATGCTGGTCCAGCCCTACACTGAGTACCATGAGCGCCTGATGGCTCTCTCAGCCCTGTCAGGCTGTGACGTCAAGGGTCCAGGCAAGGTTTGGCTCAGAAAGGTTCAAAGGGGCAGTGGTCCTTGGTCACTCAGCAGAGGCTTGGGTACGAGGTCAAGGAGAGAGACCAAAGGTTGGCCTGTCTGGCCCAGGGCTCAGGAGTGTGGAACATGGTGAGTGAAGTACAGGGCTAGAGGGGACCTGGGGCTGGCCAGTGAGGGTCTTCCAGCCAGAGCCCCGGAGACCCAGGCTGCTGGGTCTCTGGGTGGGGGCTTCCGCCTCAGGCAGCGGGACTGCTGCAGATTTCCACCTGGGAGGCTGCCTGGCCAGAGGTAAAAGGCTAGGGTGTTTGGCCCGATGAGCGGACAAGCACCGATGAGCTACCTCCATGCTGCGTTGCCCACTTATTCAAGGAGGGTGGAGTCTGGGAGAGAGGAAGGAGGTCCCCATGGGGCAGGTGCACCTGGTCGCTGATGAGGAGACAGCTCACCAAAGGCCTTTCCCTGCCCTAGTCTATCTCACTGGCTTGAGTGTTTCTTCTCTTTCACTGGGGTGTAATTTGCATGCATCAGAAAGCACAGATTCTGAAATGTACAGTTCCGTGAGGTTTGACAAATGCACGTGACCGTGCACTACCAAGATAGACTATTCTCAAAAAAAAATTTCTGGGCTTAATAAAATGAAAAAATTTTAACAACAACAACAAAAGATAGACTATTCTCACCCCCAAAAGTACTGCCTTGTTCTGTGCTTACCCCCAAAATTTGTGTGTATGGCAGTGTGTGTGGGGGGCTCCAGTGTGTAGTTCCAGGGAAAGGAAAAGATGGGGCACAGGGACCTGGAAACCTACGTTTTCAGTCCAGCAGAACGGTGGTGAGTGCGTTGGGTCACGGGGGGGGCGCAGGGGGTACTGAGGGGGGTGAGTGGTGATGTCAGCACCTGCAGGCAGGGTAAGAAGCACTCTCTTGAGGTGAAGAGGGCCTGAGGTGCAGGGTGTGTGCACTGCAGGAGAGAGGTGGACATCAGCACCTCCTGGGAGCTGAGATGGAGGTGTCTGTCAGATGAGGGAAGGGGAGGTGGGCTTGGGCCTTGGGAGACTTGAGGAGCTGAGAGGCAAAGAATGGATACAGGCTCAGAAGCTGAGGCAGGGGATTACAGTCTGATCCCAGCCTAGGTAACTTAGCTACTTAGTGAGATCCTGCCTCAAAATTTAAGAAAAGAAAAGAAAAGGAGACCAGGGTGCGGGGGGGAGGGGGGAAGAGGGGAGTTTTAGCTCAGTGGGAAGGTTCTGGGGTTCAATCCCTGGTACTGGAAAACCAAACAAAAACAATAATGGACAGGATGAGGGGACCTCCATCAGTATTTATCAAGGCCCTGTTCTCAGCCTAGGGAGGGGTGAGGTCTGAGCAGGTTTCCCTCCCCACCAGCCAAGCCACTACAGGAAAGGCAGCGGTGGAAGTGGAGGGTGTCAGCACTGCCCTGCGTGACTTTCCGGGACAACAAGATAGGGTACAAATGAGACCAGTGCTGTTCCCTGACCACATTTCCAGGAAGCCAAAGCAGGGCCCCGGAGCAGGCTGGGGGAGGGGAGGGAGAAGCGGCCTGGGAGACAAGGGCGAGGCAGAGAAGGAGCAAGGGCAGAATCACAGAACCCAGGGCTGGGGGGTGCTCCCGTCAGAGCCGGTGGCTTTCTAGATTAAAATGCTTAGGTGTCAAACTAGCGGGTCCAGAAGGGATACTGCAGCCCAAGGCGGCAGCAGCTGAGGGAGCCCTGGCCTGCACATACTCCCTAACTCATTTCTCTCTCTCTCTCTCTCTCTCTCCCTCCCTCT